AGCCTCCCCCCTCCCCCCCAGTTTCTAACACATTTATAAGATTATTTCTTTGTTGTTTTGTATGTCCCTCCCCCACGGTAGAACCCTGCTTTCACTGTATTTGATGTTGTTATAATTTGTGGAGGGGAAGGGAACAAACAAATCGTTTAACTAGGGATACAGGTGGACCCATTGCAACAATGAGACATACAAGTCCTTATGTCGAAAATGAACTTTACAACTTTGGTGGGGGGCGGGGAGGAGGGTTGGGTGCCGGGGTGGGGGAAGGATGGGAGGGGAAGGGGAAACAAAGGAGGAGGCTACAATGCTTGATAACAAATGTACTCATTATCTTACGCATGTAATTGTAACCCCTCTGTACAGTATTTTCACAATTAAAAAAGAAAAAAAATTATTCTAGTAGTTTCTTGTTTGAATAATTTTTAGATTTTTTTTTGTCTTTTCTTTTTTGATACTAGGGATCACACCTTTGCCACTGAGCTACAGCCTAGCCGTATTCTAATAGTTTGTATATGGCAGACTTAAAGGATACATGTTTTAGATTTTTAATGTTTTATATAAGAATTTAATGCAGCTTATGTTTCCCATAGTTATATTGGTATCACATTGAGTATATTTGGTAATGTTTGCATTCTTAACCCTCAAAAGATGGACATAATATTATGTCATTTCAGATTTTTATATAATTTTATTAGACCTTGCAAGATTACTAAAAAGCTTTAATAGAAGAGTAGGAGTTGGCTTTCATGGATTCCATGTCTGGAAATGTAGTTCTTCTCAGTCAAAATACAATGCATTTCTAGGTTACCATGTATTCTGGTATTCAAGTATAACACAAAATACATTTTGAAGTCAAATTTAGATTCTCAGTTGAGATCTTTGAAGTAGTTTACCTACATCTATTTTATCCTACGTTATAATCTTTTTATCCTCTGGGGTTATCTTTTTTCATTTTATAGGATTGTTAGCATTTCTAAAACTTTGCCTAAATATTGAGTGAGCATTCTTCCTTTATGAAAAAGACTTCATGTCAATTATATAATAGGCAAACTTTTTTTGTTATTGAGGCCAAATATGCCATACACGTAGCTTTCTTTTCTCCTGTTCAAATTACAAAGTATTCCAAACATAGCTGTATATTGAGAATGTTGTAATGAACATTATTACTCTTCGCTTTTCTCTGTTTACTTCAAATTATTATTTCCTATATTAATGTATATTAGACACATCCACATTAGATATCTTACTAAAATTAAGACAAATATTGGCATTCGTTTAATTATTCAAAAACTTTTCAAAAAGGAAATGAGGTTAATGTGTCATCTGATACATTTTATTTACTCTCTGGAGTGGGGTAAGGCAGGCTGTTCCTGAGGGACTATGTTTGATCTGAGGTTCCTCAAGGGTCACGTGTAGGCTGCTATTCTCTATTTGGTGCCTATGGAAACTTCTAGATCTGTACTCCAAATGCAGGAGGAAAGTCTTGCCTTTTAAAAAGCCTTCTGTTTGTTATTTAGCTATTTATAATGTTCTCCTTATTAATGTCAAATACTAAGTGACATTGTTTTTATGACCATTTACTTTTTACACCAGAAACCATAGCATTTGTCATTTACAACAGAACTGCCTATAGGTAACCTCTCTGCCTATAGGTCAGTACCATAAAAGTAGCATTTGAAAAATGGGAATAAAATGTACTCTACAAATAAAATGTTCTCCAAATAAGTCAAATGAAAGGACGATAATCCCATGTCAAATAATATGTTTGGAGACAAGATTAAAAAAAAACATTCAAGGAAACAGGAACACCCTTTCTTTCCCAAGTGGGAAACAGACCAAACCTTTCTATACTTCCAATGCTGCTAAAAATGATAGTGACATATAAAAAGAAAGCCACAGAAGTAATATTTTCCAGGCTAACTTAAAGGTGAATTTATTTTTTGAAGAGTGAAATGTTGAGAATAGGAAGGGTATTTGGTCTCCTGAAGAGGTATTGAAAGCTTGTGGGCATCAATACCAGGAATTCTTAAAATGAAAACAGTTCTATGATATTGTGGCTCCAACAATAGTGAACCTATCAAAGTGTGACGTTGGAACTTATTGCATCCAGTAAGTAATGAAAGACCTCAGTTTAGTGGTACGAAGCAATCCTAGTTGGAATTGTTGCTATATTCCTAAAACTACATTGTACTCTAGTAGTGAGTGATTAGTTTTTATTTGTCCCAGAAGACAAGGTTGAAAAAAAATTAAATCTCATTAAATATTGCACAATGCATGATTGTATCTGTCTTATAAGACATGTTTTTTTTTTTATTTTTGCATGAGCTTATTTGAGGGATAAAAGCTGAACCTAGTACAAGTAAATCATCAAGAATTATGGCAGAATGTGGGTGACATATTGGTAACAGATATTTGATGGGGCAGTAAAAATTTGCAGCAAGTCTGAGTGAGATAGATTATGAACAAGTGAGAATGAATTAGTGTTTATATTTACTAGATTTAGAATTTGGAAAATTTGGTCTTAGTTATGATTTCGTAATACATAGCTCTTGAGTAAATGAAACATTACATTTTTATAACTTGAACAAAGGGATTTCAAATTGAGAGTTTTTAGGTTCAAAGGTAACATTTCAGAGAATAAACGTTTTCCTTTGGGTTGCATATTAAATTGATTAAACAGGGAAATAAACAGTAGGAAACTAGTGAGACTGATAGGAATTTCAATGCCAGTTTTAACATACAATTATTAAAAAATGCCAGTACCTTTAATGTTAGTAAAACATAGAATGTGCATGATCACATGAGAGTCCTTAATGTGGTAAAAGGACAGCTCCCTGTGGCTACTGGGTTTATTTTTAGAAACATTCAAAACAGTAGTTCAGTCTTTGATCTCTAAGTTATTATATGTAGGGTCTGAAAACTAGACATCTCAAATATCTGTAGGTGGGATAAATATTAGGCCTAATTTGGTATAGGAACGGTTTTGTAAATCTATATTTTAACAAATAAAACAGTAGTGTATTAAATTTGTTACTGAATAAAGCATTATCTGAGTTCAAGCATTGGCTTGTAAAGGGTTTACAAAGAAACGCAGGGAGCAGGTGACTGGGGATGTGTGCCTAACATGCACAGAGGCCTGGATTCAAACTTCAGTACCTCATGGAAAGGAAAAACTATAGATTAAAAGAGACTTAGAGGTTTTGTTTATATTTGGATAAGAACAGATGGTTTAAAAGAGCTTGGCACAGGTGGCTCCTTCCTGTAATCCTAGCTACTCAGGAGGCTGAGATCTGAGGATCGTGGTTCAAAGCCAGGCAGGAGGAAAGTCCATGAGACTCTTATCTCCAGTAAACCACCAGAAAACTGGAAGTGGTGCTGTGGCTCAAGTGGTAGGGCCTTGGCTTTGGGTTGAGGGTTTGGGGGCCGGGGCCCGGGTTTCAGGCCCCTTCCTTGCTTTTGCCCCGGAAAAAAAAAAAGACACAGAAGACATGGCAGTATTTGAGCACTGATTGGTAGGAATGTTATAAGAAATTGTGATGACTTAATAGCCAGTTGAGTTTGGCTTAAATACTTACTGAATTATCAACAAACACTTGGAGGTCTCGGGTTTTCTTTTGAACAGTTCAGAGTAGAGGTCTATGAAGATAGAAATGGAATGTGGTTTGTGATGATTTATTAAAACTGGGAATAATGGGCATTCATGTTAGTACTCTCAGTAATCTTGCATGTTTGAAATTTTCTGTAGTAAAAACAGAAAAAAATGTAATATGCCATTATTGGAAGAGGATGTCTTCAGCATAGGCAACTCTGGAATGTAGTCAGAAGGGGGGATATGCAAAACAAAAGCATTCTTATAAATATACCTGATAGGTAAATGTTGAATTTTGTTTTTCTTCAGAGCCGAAGCCATTTATTTGAATCTTGGATGACTAGCTTCTAAATGCTTAATTCTGAAAACTGCCCAAGTCATAAAATCAGGATTAGATGATCCAAGTTACCACCAAGAAATTTCAGACTCAAGTGACACGGTAAGATTATATAAATATTCTAAAGGCTAAATAATGATGAAGGCCTAAAATGATCTTAAAATGCTGTTTTAGCTTCTAGCTTCTTTTAGAAAAAGCTTCTTGATTATTAGGTTTTTAAGACTATGAAATGCCTGAGATAATTAATTAGTTAAGTGTCAAAGTTTATTCTGTCTGGCATTTTTGAAGTTCTAGGCTGTGGATGACTGGCCTTATTGTTTTGGGCCTGTGATGGGGCAGCACAAGATAATGGAAGTGCAGTGTGGAGTGCAGCAGATCCACTCACCTTATGGCCAGGAAGTGGACAAAAAGAGAAGAGGGAGCCAGGACCCACAGTGTCCCCTATGTGACCAGGACTGGGCCCTACCTCTCAAAGGTGTTACCATCTCTCAATATTGCCAAGCTTTAGGCCAAGCTTTTCATATGTGACACATGTGGGCCTTTGGGAACATTCAAGATTCAAACTACAGCAAATCCTATGTTGTGATCATTTAAGTACGCAGGTGAGCAGAGCTCTGTGGCCTTTTGTCTTCAGACTTGGCTGGCCAATAATGGGCACACTCGTTGGAATGCCATGCCTCTTGTCCTTTGCGCTGTCTCAGGGTAGGAGCTCAGCAAGCTGATGCTGAAAAAGATTATGCCTTTTAAGTTGTTTATTTCAAGATGTGTTACATACATAGACTACTTTGTTAAATGGCACAAAAAAATTAATACGTAAGCTAAAAATGAAGACAAGAAAGGGAAGGGGCGGGTAGGGAGGGTGGGTGAGAATGTTGGAAGGGGTGACACGGATAGGAGGCACTGTATTCCTGAACTGCATTGTTAAATGGTAACACTTTGGTACAACTACTCAAAGCTAATGAAAATATTCAAAAAAATACTTTCTCACTAAAGAAACCACAGGTGTTTATTAGGGATCAGCATCAGTAAAGAGGGCAAGTGGGATAGGATAGGGTAAAGGAAACACAACTCCAGTGCAGGTACCACAAAGTTAGGCCAACCCTTCAGGGTCTGTGGTAGCTCTGAGAGTTGATTTCCCTTACTTACTATTGTAAGCTTGAAGACACATCTCAGTGGCTTTGTGTCTCGCACAGATCATTAAACAATCTGCTCAGTAAATATATGTTGCATAAAAAAAAAATCAGAAAAACTATATGTGTTCCCTCTGGAGCCCCTGATGTTTAGAGCCCCTCTTGTCTTAGGTTACCTTATCCTTCAGCTCTTTCCTCTCTGCAAAAGAAATGCAGTTTTAAACAATGAGTTGACAGTGACACAGCTGCTTGCTGTGTATATTGTGGATGAACATAAAAGTAACTTCCCTTCCACAATTCGCTTGTGTAGCATACTACTCTGTCTCTGGGCTTGGTAGATAAGAGCAGACCAGCTCCCTAGATAAGACTCAGGCCTCTGTGCCTGAGGCAAACAACAAACCTAGGATATAATGACCATGAGATCATATTCATAAAGAGAAGCAAATTTGTCTTTCATATGACTTCCTTGTTGTTGGGGTTTTCTTTTTACCCCTTTTTACATAGACAGAATTTGTATTTTACCTTCAAATATTCTCTGAGACTTAATACTTTATTACTACTTTACTATAAAGAACCTTCACATACCATCTTTTAAATGAACCAACTAAGGAGTAGTTGGCTATATAAGTAATACTGTAGCAAAGTAAAGATAAAAAAAACGAAGTAATTTCGAAGTAGACCTTTCTTTGGCTTTTCTTTTACAACCATTTTCCAGATAGTTATAGAGATCCTGTATTATGTAAATAATTTCCTTCATGTTGTATGTTAGAAGAATGAGATTATAAATGTGTTTCACTAGGTGATTTTTGAAATCATTTAAATGTGTGTATGCCCTTTCTTTTTTTGTTTATAATTACATGAGCTGTCCTTGAACTCAAGATTCTCTCAAATTAGCTGGGATTATAGATGGTTACTGTTATACTCAACCATACTTTGCAAATTCTTCAATTTTATGCTCTTAGTTCTATTAAAATTTTGTTTTATTGTATGTACAGAGGAATTACAATTACCGATGTCAGATATTGAGTACATTTCTTTTGAACAGTGTCACCCGCTTCCTCATTTTCTCCCGGTTTTTTCCCTCCCAGTCCTCCTCCCTACCCCAAAGTCATATAGCTCATTTCCAACCTATTGTCTAGTGAGTATCACTGCTGAAATCTATTTATCTTAAATAATCAATTTTCTCATAATTCTTGTCAGTAATATTGATAATCAAATTGATCATGGTAAGGAAGAAGTATTGTGTTTAAAAGTACATTTGGAATGGTCATAATGTAGTATGAAGTTTTTTTCATATTCTATAGAAATTGCTTCTGAAGTCTATTAGTAGATTTTCAAAATGATAAGAATTGTTTTTTGAATACCAGTTCCTGTTTCATGCTTTAGCTGTAAGTTTATTTGAAAGGCACACCTCAGACCAAAGTAAATTTGTCTTTACATTATCACAGCAAATGTTTTCAAAGTCTTAAATGTTAAACTAGAAATATACTGAGTACTTTATGGTCTCAATATTGCTGTTACCACCCATTGTACAAGTATATGTCTACACATAGTGAAGTTTTACAGTGGAAAGCTCTTTGGTTTGTTATCAGCACAAACAGTATAGGTCCTAAAAATCAGCTTCCAAACAGCTGGTGGTTGACCTGCGGGGCTGTAGCACCGCCTAAATTCACATGACGTCTCTTTGCTCTTTGACACAAATAGTGTACCTTAACTTCCCATCAAGGAAGTTGGTGTAGGCACCTTTCTGTGAGCTTGTGGACTTGTAATGGAAAAGAAGCTTCAAATGGATTTTTTAAAGAGAGTCGTTCCTCCCATTCTTTCTGGAGACATGATTTCTGAATCTGGGGACAGGATTCAGGAAAATTTCCCAAGATTAGTTAAGGTGCAGCGTCTTAGTATGCTTTCATCTGAGAAGATAGTAGGTGATCAAGACAGAAATAATTTGCATGGAAGTAATTGTGACAGATACCAACATCAACAATTAGGTAAGCTAAAACCACATTTCTTTCAAGAAGTATTTTGGGAAAGCAAAATTGTTTGTGAAAATATGAAATCTAGGGAACATGGGTTTTATTATGAAAATCTTTAATACTAAATATTTTGCTTTGAATTTAGGGGAAGAAGTATTTATATTGTAAAGTAATGTAAAACCATTAATAACATTGGCAGTTTTGATAATCTCTGGAAAATATTTTGATGAAGGATTATTGAAAAATGTTATTAAAATTTGTAGCATATGTAAGTTAAAAATGAGATACTAAATTTTATATATCACTATAGAAATGACTTATATTTAATTTTAAAAAGTCTCACTATTTTGTTCTAAAGATAACAAATATCTAGAGTGAAAATATTGGAGTGAAATACTAAAAAAGTATTTTAAGAACTGAGCAGTGTAGAGTGCTTTTCTAATGTGCTTGGCCTTGGGTTTGATCTCTATTACTACTGCTTAACCTGCTCCCTATCCCCCCCAAAAAAAGTCTTGTAATATACAGTGATTATTTTGTATCATAGTGCTTTTGGCACAAAAATCAATTTTTTAAATGATCAAATGGCCAGCAGGTAGATAAATATTTTAAGTTTTAAAATTTCTGGTTAACAACACTTTTAAATGATCTGGGTGCCAGTGGCTTACTCCTGTACTCCGAGCTACTCAGGAGGGTGAGATCTGAGGATCACAGTTCAAAGCCAGCCTTGGGCAGCAAAGTTCATGAGACTCTTCTCTCCTGTTAACCACCAGAAAACCAGAAGTGGTGCTGTGGCTCTAGTGGTAGAGCACCCGCCTTGAGCTAAAGAGCTGAGGGACAGCTCCCAAGCCCAGAGTTCAAGCCCCAGGACCCACAAAAAAAACCCTCCAAAACAAAACAAAAAAAACCCACTTTTTTTTTTAATTGTGAAAATACTGTACAGAGGGGTTACAATTACATGGGAAAGATAATGAGTACACTTCTTACCAAGCATTGTAGTCTCCTCCTTTGTTTCCCCTTCCAATCCCATCCTCCCCCACTCCCCAACCCTCCTCCCCCCCAAAGTTATAAAGTTTGTTTTCAACATAAGACTTGTATGTCTCATTGTTGCAATGGGTCCACCTGTATCCCTATTTAAACTATTTGTTTTTTCCCTTCCCCTCCACAAATTATAGCAACATCAAATACAGTGAAAGCAGGGGTTATACCGTGGAGGAGGGACATACAATGCAACAAAGAAATCATCTTATAAATGTGTTAGAAACAATTGCATGAAAGAAAACATTTGAATACATATCTTTTTAAATGTGTACATATATTTTTATTGATAGAATTTAAAAATAAGTTGGATTATTATCTAAATGTTTGCTGAACTTGGTTTTTTTTTTTTGTTGTTGTTGTTGTTGGTTGTGTGGCTTGAACTCTGAACCTGGGCACTGTCCCTCAGCTAAGATTGGACTTGATGTTTAAATGTAATATGATGTGCTTTCTTACATCTTCCTTTTTTTCTCTCTCTAAGCTTGATCTTTTTTTGTCCCTCTACCCTTTGAGCCATGCCTCTAGCCCTTTTTTTTACTTTATATTTTTTTGAATAGGGCTTCCAGTTGAATGGTGACCTTCCCACATATTCTTCTTTTATGCTGGCATTTTCCTTGTTGAGAATGGGATATGGCTTAATTTTTGGCTAAGCTGGCCTCAAACCATGATCCTTCCAGTCTGCCTCCTAAGTAGCTGGGATTAATGGCATGAGCTACCATACCCAGCCTGTTCTTGCCTCCCCCACCTCTGCCCAAAAGAGTACCTTAAACTCTTGGATTAAATTAAATTTGAGGTAGATTTTTGTTAATTTGTAAACAGAGTCTCAATAGTCAAGATTTGTCATAATTACATTAATTAAGGACAAAACAAAACATAATTAGGGAGTACTAACAAATCTGATCTCTGTTGGAATTCCTAGGCTGCAGGGCAAGTTCTCGGTGGGGTGACCTGACCAGGTTTACTC